CTTCTCATTGGGCATGACTAGTGATGGGAATCTCCCCCACGAAAACAGGAACGTTGTGTCTACGTGAAATCCATGTGATTTTGTGGTTTTCACGTGAATACAACGTGCATTCTATATGGAATCCACGTATGTTTTTGTGGGGCTTGGCTTTTTGGCACACCTACGCCATAGAGACTTTTCTATCTGTGTGCTCAGCCTACAATCAGTTTATCGTGCGATGTAAATAGCAATATTTTTACGATAAACTGAATGTAATCGAGCTTCTCCCTCCCCACAGATTGAAAAGTATCTGTGCATAGATGTGCCAAAAGGTCATGATTCCCATCACTGTCCATGACGTGATTTTCAAGGTTAATGATAAAATATACATTTAATAGGTACTTACATTCAGTACTCAGCCTTTATATTAACCTATTGAGCTGTATAAGCACAAGCTACATGACATATGCACTAACACAGTAACTAATTTGCGAATAAGCGAACGAGAGAGATATTTCACTGATCGCCATTTGCACTTTTCCACGTCGAGTGCTTAAAGTTGCCCATGGAGAACGGAACACGCGAAGCCAGCACGACCAATAGGTGCATTCAGTACTACAAGCGTTCAGCTCACTGAACGCTAAGTGAGTTCTTGCATTTGATTGACGTACATTTTTCCTTCTAACGGAATATGCCAAATATATTTATATATAAAATATATAAATATATTTATATATATATTATATATATATTATATATTTGTATATTAATATATTTATATATTGGGTGAGTGCAAAAGTTCGTGCGGAGTTTCAATAGATGGAGTTATAAGCGTCGTAAAGTGTTGTCATTAATACTTCCATCTACATATTATATAACGTTGGAAAGGTGACGTCTTCAGCTGTTATTAAAAAAGAAATCATTTGTTTTCATACAAACTGCTTCGAGAAATATCACTTTAAAAATGAGTATCGATAAGGTGCATTTACGGCATGTTACGCTTTACGAGTTTCGGAAGGGAATAAACGTTGCCGCAGCCGTAAAAAACATTCAGGATGTTTATCAGGATGAAGCACCAGCTAAACGAACTGTAGAAAAATGGTTTGCTAAATTTCGGCGCGGAGAATTTAACCTTGAAGACAAGCCACGCTCTGGTCGACCTTCTGACATTGATGACGATGTTTTGCGTACTTTACTGCTCAATAATCCGCGAATTTCAACAGAAGAAGTTGCTACAGCACTAAACGTTGACCGATCAACCGCTTTTCGGCGTGTAAAAAAGATGGGATTCGATTTGAAGCTCGATATATGGGTGACCCATTTGCTGACCGAGAAGAACAAAATCAAGCGAATTTCTGCAGCCGTTTCTTTACTCGGGCGGCTCAATAACGAGTCGTTTTTGGATCGACTAGTGACGGGCGATGAGAAATGGGTCCTCTACAACAATGTTCAGCGCAAACGGACATGGAAACAATCAGGTGAGCATGGTGACGCAATGCCAAAGGCCAGTTTGCACCCGATGAAGGTGATGCTCTCTGTTTGGTGGGATTGCAAGGGCATAATCTATTTCGAGCTTCTCTCCGCTGGCGAAACGATTGATTCGGACAAGTACTGTCGCCAATTAACCAATCTGAATCGAGAAATAAAAGAGAAACGTCCGATTTTGTCAAATCGCAAGGGAGTCGTCTTTCATCACGACAACGCCAAACCACACGTTTCGAAAAAGACGCTGCGCAAACTGAAGAGCCTGAAATGGGATGTCTTAACGCATCCACCGTATTCTTCTGATATCGCACCATCTGACTATCACTTGTTCCGGTCATTGCAAAATTATTTAAATGGAAAAAACTTTGACTCTTTGGAGGCCTTAAAAAACGGCGTCTCTTCGTTCTTCGAATCTAAACCGCGCAGTTTTTATGATCGAGGCATCCGTATGCTGCCAGAACGTTGGAAAAAGATTATAGAAAACGATGGAGAATATATCATTGATTGAATAAAGATTTTTGTTTGCCTAATCACTGTGTGACTTTTACTCACAAACTCCGCACGAACTTTTGCACTCACCCAATATAAATAAACCTCTTTTAATACTTATCGAAAGTCTGATACGAAATTTTAAAGAATTGTTATTACGGAATCAACGTTATAAATAATTATATTAGTACGCAATTATCGTCAGTTCATGACTGAAATATGACGTCAAAGTGGTATAGCATTTTGACTTCAATTAGAAGTCATGTAAATGACCTATATAAATTGATCATTTTGATGACATTTTGACGACATTTGACTAAAAGTGACCAGTTTTTAACGTCAAAATGACGTCTGCTTGCTACCTGGGATACCACGTATATTTCATTTCTCGCCTTTCGTTGTGAGTTACTGCGCAGGCGTGCTCCGCAGGCGGAGCAGCAGCTCTCATCTTTCTCGAGTCGGGATGCGTCCCGAAAGTCATTAAAAAAGAAGTGACAACCTTTATGTCCACGACCGTACATAATATATATCTTAAAAAAGGAAATAATTTGAATTTGAGATTTCTAAAAATATTAAGTATACGATTTCTCAGTTGGCGGTACTGTTTTAATATCACTTCTTTTGTATAATATAATATATATTATATATCTACATACCATATAACTGTCCTGCTACTGATACTTTAGTTGTTGGGACAGTAAATTTTGCATGTAAATGAATTTTATTTGTAATATAATATATATAATAAATTTTACTTGTAATATAATATATGTAATAAATTTTACTTGTAATATAATATATGTAATAAATTTTACTTGTAATATAATATATGTAATACAGCTTGCTGCCAAGCAACTTACAGCAAATTTGCAGCAAAAACCGCGCAAACTTTGCTGCATATAACACCTAACAGTAAGTTAGGCGCAAAAGTTTGAGCGATTTTTGTTGTAAATTTGCTGTATGTTATCCGGTAGCAGGCTTTGACGTCAAAACACAAACTGAATGCGGACACAGATGGTTATGGTTTTAGTATAAGTTTTTGGTCGAATTTGCTGCAAGTTTGCGTGCAATTTGCAGTAAATTTTCTTACTGGAAGTATAAGTCATTATAAAAAAAAGTTTATATGAACGCGGTTAGAATTCTCAGTAGTTTCAATAATATAATTGTTTAATACCTTTATTCATAGTTCTTCCTTATCTCAAGCATGAAGGAAGCCTCCATGAAGGATTCCTTGAATCTACAAGATCACCTTATTTCATAGATGGATCTCAAGTCTTCCTTCTAGAAAGAAGGAATATTTTACGACTTTTAGTGACTTACTGGATGCAGCACTTTTATAGCGCGTTTTATAGCGCTCGCAACCTAATTTAGACTGCGTTCCGATATTCACTGTCAGTATTGAAACTTTATAATATACATGGTGTCCCATGTTAAAAACACGCACTTCGATAATTCTTCAACGAAGCATTTTTAGCAAAAATGTTTCCAACAAAAGTTGTATTATTTCAAAAGGGACATTTTCCAAAAATCAGTAAGTTAACAAAAATCAAGGGGCTATTATAACAATATATTCTTGAGATTAAATAGAGCAGAAAAGTCTAGTATCACTTTTTATTCCGACAAATAGCGAAATATCGTGAGTTAAATATTGAAAAAATTATCAAGTTTTCCTTAAATGTCTCAAAAAATATTAGGCAAATAAAAAATGTTTCAGACAAAAGTTATTTAAATTAATTAGTAAAAAAGTCGATGTAATAAAAAATTAGGGTTTCCATTTACGAAAAGTAATGATTAGTGAATATCTCGAAAGTAATGCCATTTGTAAACAAAATCGTATAGATATTTTATGTCCCCCTTGAAATCATACAACTTTTATCCGAAAGATTTTTGCTGAAAGTGCTTCGTTGAAGAATTATCAAGGTGCGTTTTTTAAAATAGGACACCCTGTATATCTATAATATATGTTATATCTATTTGTAAAAAACTTACCTTATTAAAAATAAGGTAAAAAAAGGCCCAAGAGCACGCGACTCGTATTAATAACCTTTTTGAAAAACAAAATAAAAATTTTACAAAAAGTTTCCCCCCGAAAAAAATTAAAAGGTTTCCAAACAAATCCAAAAATATTACAATATATAAATACAAAAAAATATTTTATTTTAACCTTTTTTAAAAACAAAATATCAATAAAAATTCTACAAAAAAATTTCAACCCAAAAGAAAAATAAGAAAATTTAAAAAAATTAATTTTTTCCAAAATATTATAATAAATACAAAAAATTGCATTTTAACCTTTTTTAATAACAAAATAAAAAATCTGTAAAAAATTGTATTTTCTACAAAATATCTTTTCTTTCTTTCTGATAACGGTGGGGAAATCTTCATTGATACCCCAGCTCCTTGGGGGGCGGGGGTTATGCCGGACTCTTACCGGCTAAAACCCCACCGGGGTGTCCTCCAGGCGGGCCGAAATGGGGGGAGCCAGAGGAACTACGCCTGCATTTCCTCCCCGACACCCCGCCCCTGGGGCTGTAATGGAACCCCTCGCCCTAATGCGGCGCCCCTTCCCACAAAGGGAGTCAGGAGTGCGGCGCTCCGTCCGGTCGCCCGGCCGGTTTGGCCTCCTGGTACCTAATTATTAGAGAGAAGGAACACCCACTCTCTCTCCTAGCCCCCCTCTTTGCCGGAGAGGAGTGGGGAAATGGGGCCCAAACTGGCCGCCACTCCTCTCTTACTTGTCTTCACCGTCGCAAAGGGGCAGAAGGCTTTATGCCCATCGTCCCCCCTGTGCGGACGGAGGCGGGCCCGAGGCGGCTGACGAATCGGGGACGGCTCCTTGGCCGGTGCCACTCCGGGCCCGCTCCCTATACCCTGGGAGCGCCGCCTCCTTCACTGTCACTCCCTGCAATGGGTACCGGGGCGGCGCTCCCATGCAGCGGCCTCTTTCCGGGACATTACATCCTTGCAGAAGGAGGCAGTCGCCCCCCACGCCTTCTCGCTCCCGCACATGACCATGCGCGGGAGCGAGAGGGCCTCCACCTGGCATCTCACCACCTGGGCGAGGACACGGCGTTGCTGGCCCCATGTCTCGCATGAGACCAGCGTATGGTAGCCGTGTCCTCGAGCACCGGGCAGTAATGGCATCGTGTGGTGGGTTTCTTCCCGATCAGGTGCAAGTACCGACCGAAACATCCGTGTCCGGTCAGCACCTGCACCAGAAGGAAGAAGAGTCCCCTCCCGTCCGCCACTTCGGATAGACAGGGGTGAACAGCTTCGGCCGTTTGGAGTCCGGATCTACGAAGGTCGGCCAACATGGCCGACCACCGCTCCATGACCCGAGCTCTAGCCTAGAACTTCAGGGCCGCCAGGCCCCTGGCCGTTACCTCCTCTGCCTCCTCGCGGAGCTCCCGCAACCTCCAATAAAGAGTGCTTCGCTCTTCGGCGAGGAGTTCCACGGGGGAGGAGCCGCCCAGGGTCGTCGCCGCCATGTACGATACGGTGCAGTACTCCCTGATCGCCCTCACTACCACCGACTGCAGCGCCTGGCGCATTAGGCGATTGTTGCGGCCGGTGGCCATGAGCTGGGGCGCCCATACGGGCGATCGAGAGCACTACACCGATGTACAGGCGGCGAGCGTGCCATCCGGAGTCCCCCTGGGTCTGCATCAAGCTGGCAAGAGCCATACCTGCTTTGCGGACCCGGGAGGCCAGCTGACTAAAATGCGGCCCAAAGTCCCATTGGCCGTCCAACGTTAGGCCCAGATACTTTATCGTGGACCCGACACGGACGCGGACTCCATCCATCAGAACCCGGGACCTCGGCGGCGCCCCACGGCTGCCGTTATGAAAATAAAAGGTTTCCGTTTTGTGAGGCGCCACCTTCAGTCCCAAGTCCTTGATGGTGCCCACCACCGATGCCAGTGCCGCCTCCGCGCTGAAGCTTTCCTCCAGTCCTCCCCCGGCCGCCACTAACATGTCATCTGCGTAGCAGATGACGCAGCAGCCAGGGGAGAGGAGAGAGCGAAGAACCCTGTCGAACGCGATGTCCCATAGCAGGGAGCCGAGAATTGACCCCTGTGGGACACCACGTTCCATAATGCGCCGGCCTTGGACCCCGCATCTCCCCGAGTAGGCGAGGTCCTAGCCCCCGAAGTAGGCCGATAGGATGCGCCGGAGGTAAATGGGTACCCCGTGGTATTCGAGGGCCCGTTCAACCTTCGGCCAGGGCAGAGTATTAAAGGCGTTCGTAATGTCTAACGACACTGCCAGTAACACCCCGCTCCCCTCCTCCGCGACCGTACGGGTCAAGTCCCGGACATGCTTTCTTCAAAATATCTGATATCAAATAAGTTAAGCCAAGTGCTAATATATACCAGATCTGTAAATATGAAACCGGAATTTGCCCATAGATGGCCCTAGCTGTCAATGTAGTTACCGTCAAACCGCGTTATTGGCGCCATTTCCATTAGTTGACATCCGACAAAGATTTTCAACTCACAACAATAGAAGTTTCATATAACAGCATAGTTTGTAATAGCGTTGAACATGTCGAATTTTGTGCCTGGAAGCTACGATTTGCGGACAGCATAGATTTTCTGTTACCATTTGAAGAAAACTGCTGCAGAATCGCATCGAATGCTTGTCGAAGCTTACGGTGAGCATGCTCTTGGTACATCACAGTGCTTTGAGTGGTTAAAAAATTTCAAACGTGGCAATTTTGATGTGAGAAACGAAGAACGTGGAAGACTACCGAAAAAGTTTGAAGACAGCTAATTGCAAGCATTGTTGGATGAGGATGACGCTCAAACGCAACAACAACTCGCGGATCAATTAAATGTGACACGAGAAGCTGTCTCCATATGTTTGAAAGCCATGGGAAAGGTCCAGAAGATGGAAAAATGTGTTCCACATGAACTGAATGAAAGACAGCAGGAAAACCGAAAAACCACTTGCGAAATGCTGCTCGCCAGGTACAAAAGAAAGTCATTTCTCCATCGAATTGTGACTGGCGATGAAAAGTGAATATATTTTGAGAATCCTAAGCGTAACAGATAATGGGTAACTCCTCGCCCTCCTTCTTTCATGGTGGATCCCCCTTCGGCGCGTTGCAACACGTATCCAAGCGCCCGGGGGCAGCCAAAATATGGCGTCGACCCCGGGGCTTATTTCTATTATTTGCACCGGATAAGGAGGGGCAACGGTGGAGGCCGGCATACATGGACAGCAGGTCTTAAAAGGATAGCAACCTTTGACTTTGAGAGACTGTCAGCTTGTACCATCAGGTACAAGTAACAATGCCTCTCTCTGTAGTCGCCGTGCGCTCGGGATAGCACTAGAGATGTCGCTTCCGAACGACATCTCTCAACGTTATCTGGGGAGGGGAGAGTGTCGTGAGCGTGAAGCGTCAGATAGCTCAGTGGTCTAGAGCAGTCGCCCGGCAAGCGAAAGACCCGGGTTCGATTCCCGGTCTAGCGACTACCGCGCTCTCGATATTTTTCTCTCCTCGGAACGAAAAATGAGATGCAGGTCCCGAACGCACGGCGTCCCCGTCCCGTCGCCACCTAGTACGCCCTCCTTCTTTCATGGTGACCATGATTTTGATGTGAGAAACGATTTTGATGTGTGATTTTCATGGTGACCATGAAAGAAGGAGGGCGTACTAGGTGGCGACGGGACGCCGTGCGTTCGGGACCTGCATCTCATTTTTCGTTCCGAGGAGAGAAAAATATCGAGAGCGCGGTAGTCGCTAGACCGGGAATCGAACCCGGGTCTTTCGCTTGCCGGACGACTGCTCTAGACCACTGAGCTATCTGACGCTTCACGCTCACGACACTCTCCCCTCCCCAGATAACGTTGAGAGATGTCGTTCGGAAGCGACATCTCTAGTGCTATCCCGAGCGCACGGCGACTACAGAGAGAGGCATTGTTACTTGTACCTGGTGGTACAAGCTGACAGTCTCTCAAAGTCAAAGGTTGCTATCCTTTTAAGTAACTCAAGCGAACCATCGACATCGATTGCAAGGCCAAGGCCAAATCGCTATGGACGGAAGAAAATGCTCTGTGTTTGGTGGGATCGGAAGGGTGTGATCTATTATGAGCTGCTAAAACCTGGCGAAACCGTTAATACTGAACGCTACCGACAATAAATGATCGACTTGAATCAAGCTTTGCGTGAAAAACGACCAGAATATCAAAAAAGGCAACACAAAGTGATTTTGCTTCATGATAATGCACCATCACATAGCAAAACTGGTCAAGGAAACGATTGAGGCGTTTAGTTGAGAAATACTTTCGCATGTGGCTTACTCACCAGACTTGGCTCCGTCCGATTATTAGTTATTTGCATCGACGGGACACGCACTTGCTGAGCAGTATTTCACTTCTTACGAAAATGTACGAAAATGGCTCGATGACTGGTTTGCCTCAAAAGAGCAACAGTTTTTTTGACGTGGCATCAAAAATTGTCAGACAGGTGGGAAAAATGTATAGCTAGCGATGGACAATACTTCGAATAAAATATTTTTTATCATTTTCATATAATAAACGTGTATTTTCTATACAAAAATTCCGGTTTCATATTTACGTACCTGGTATATACAATAAAAAAATATTTTATTTTAACCTTTTTTAAAACCAAACAAAAAATTCTACAAAATATTAAGTATTTTTCTTATTATTTCATTATATTTTTATATAATTTATTTTTACAATTCTATATATAGAAATCAATAATCTACTATAATAAATAAATAAAAAATATATATTTTATTATTTTATTATTTTATTATTTTATTAAAAAATATATATTTTATTATTTATTAAGATATATTTATAAAATAACAAATGGTAAAAATATAAGGACTTCCGTTTCCAGCGACAAAGGATTGTGAGTTAGGAGTGACAGGGTAGAAAGTGAACGAGGATTTCGGTGGGAAATAGTGAGGGTGAAGGAGAGGAGAAGGGCGGGGGTGTGTAGAAAGGGAGTAGGGACAAGGAAGAACAAGAACTGGGAGGGGGGAGGTGGAGGGAAAGTGTTAGGGAGGTCGAAGGAGTGAGCGAGCAGATAAGGTTAGGGAACAGGGAGAGTGTGGAAGACAGAGAGAGACAGGTGAGTGTAAGAGGTGGCGCGGGCTAGCGGCAAAAAGAGGAACTAAAAGAGAGAAGCGGTGAATTTAAAGGAAAATATGGTAAAGGTTAGGGCGGGAAGGGAGGGGAAAGAGGATAGAGGAGGAAAGGAGGGGGGATTGGAAGGAGCAGAAGGGGGAGGGCTGGATGGAAAAGAGGTGGAGAAGACCGACAAATGCGGAAAGGTTAAGAAGGGACAATACAAGTAGCATGGGAAGTGTAGGCAGCTGTTTATAAATAATGTGGGAGATGAAAAGGAAGACAAGGGAAGAAGGAGAGTAGGGGGAAGAGAAGAAAGCCATGAAAAAGAATACAAAGATAGGAGGTCGACAGGAGCGGGAGGTAGAGGGGGGAGAAGAGAGATGGAAGAAGAGGAAGAGGAAGACGGAAAAGAAGGACGCATAAAAGAAGAAATGGTGAAAGTAATGGTGTGGAAGTTAATGGAGGAAGTAAGAAATTTTAAGGAGGAAGTGAAGAGGGAGGGGGAGAGCAAGAGAAAGAGAGATCAAGGAACTAAGAGAGGAGCTAAGAAAAGAGAGAGAAGAAAGAAGGAGAGAATGGGAATAATGGAAGAGGGAAGGGGGGAGGGAGAAGAAGAGATAAATAAAATAGAGGAAAGGTTGAGGAGTTGGGTGGAACGAGAGAGGGAAGGGATAAAGTAGGAGGATAAGGGGAAAAGGAGAGAGAAAAGATAAGGGAGTTGGAGATAAGGATAGATAAAAAGGAAAGGATAGAGAGGAGAAGGAATGTAGTAGTAAGGGGGGTGGAGATTGGGGAGAAGGGAGTGGAGGAGGGAATGAAGGAAATATGGCAGAAATTAGAGTTGGAGGTAGAAGTGAGAGAAATGAAGAGGATAGGAAAGAGAGAGAAGAAGGGGGAAGGGATGGTACTAGTAAAACTAGGTAGTGTAGAGCAAAAGAGGAAAATGATGGAGGCGAAGGAGAAACTGAGAGGAAGAAGGGAGAGGATAGAAGATGATTTAACAGAAGAAGAGAGGAAGGCAAAATGGAGGATAGAGAGAGAGGCAGAAGTAGAGAGAAGGGAGGGCAAGAATGTGCAAGTAGGGTATATGAAGATGTGGGTGAATGGGAGAATGCAGAGATGGGATGAAGTAAGAGAGAAGTGATGGGAGATGATGGGAAACTAGAGGGGTGAGACGAAGGGAGAAGGGAGACAGGGGGAGAAGAGGGAGGGGTGCGGAAGGTGGAGAGGAGGGGAGGGAAGAGGGAAGGGTGAGAAAGGTATATATTATTTTTTTAAATAGAACCCTCAACATTTTATTGCATATTCTTATAGCTTATCTCGAGAGTTTTCCAAAACACTATAATAAAACATTTTTTCATTAAGTACTATTTGAGTTATAAAGGTTTGAAGTTAACAACTTTTTGACACAAAATGTAAAATACCTTGTAATATATAATTTAGTTTTCAGTAATCATAACCTTAATACTTTTGTGCGCGAAATAATGAGACCAATTAATTGGTTTAAAGAAAATATATTAATCGAAAAGTATCGGCTCTCCCTAATATTTTCAGTAAGAATGCATTTTGGAAAAATGTCCAATAGCAAAGTTGTACGGCTTCAAGCGGTTATGCTAGTAGGCTATGGTGGAAAACTGCCCGAAGATGATCGCGAGAAGCTGCTCGAATGCGTGATGTCCGAAGGCGTTAGTGGGAATCTGCTCGAAAGCGTTGGCGGGGCCGACCTTTAATGTCTCACTCTCGCAAGCACCAATAGTAATTCAAGCTCTTGAGCAAATAATGCGGGTCACTGATTTGAATCTTTGATGCAGTGCTGTTTTCTTCTTAGCGAGCAGCAGTCACCTCGTGGACGAAAACGAACAGCTCCA